TATAGCAAATATATGCGAGTACCCCCCCCTGGAGGTTTGCATTATTAGTTGCCATAGATCGACATTTACTGATAGAAATATCCTTTGTACTTCCTCAGCAATATTAATTGCAATATTTTTCTTCCTTTGAAGTAATTTTTCCCTTTGACGAGTATAGTCTAGAGTATAGTCTAGAGTATAGATGGAACCAGACTTGCGGAACCAAATCATCTGCGCTGGTCAGTGTTAGACCGCAAGGCAAATTTCTATACTTTCTCGGTTTCTTATTTCACTTGTTTGAGCATTAAAATAACAATAATAAAAAAATGAAAGAGCGAGAAACGTGTTTTCTCTCAACAAACGTTTAATGCCTTTTCATTATCATTACATAAGCATTTGTTCAATCAGTCGGTAAAATACGATTCCGGTTTGTTGTGGATGTTTTGTTTCGTATTGAATGACAATGATGCTAGCACTTTCCAGATGAAAATCAGCTATCATCTGACCCATAAACGATCTTTCAGACAAACATGTCTGTACCTATTTTGACTTCCGTCTAACTAGTCAGTTACTTTGCAAAAGCTTTTGAGTAAAACATATACCAAAATACTGAAGTCGAATACTACAGGATATTTTCAATTTTTTAAATAAATAATGCAAGCATTGGATTATAAGAAAAACATCGTCTGTATTCTATTCYTTTGGTACATTATACAATATTTTTGTCTTACGCGGGTCACTCTATGGCATTGCAATTCCGAGTTCATTTAATCAGTGGTCCTTCGCGATTGGAAGAGAAATGATGTGAAAGTATTAAGTTCAATATCAGTCARTTATATAAAAGAAGTAAGGTGGCATTGATGATTAAACTACTTACAAAAATGATCTTGGTATATTCGTGGCCATTGTTATTGTGATGACTTGATTGCTTCGCTGACAAACACAGACTCAAGAAGCCAGAAAAGTGTAGAATTTTACAATCGAAATCCAGTATACATCGCAATATATTTTCTTGTAATTTCACATTCCCATGTCGTCATCATTCAAAGAAATTAAAGCGAGCGAAGTTTGATTCTTGGAAATCGATGTGATGAAGTTTAAATTTACACAGGGATCCCAGAAGAAACCACTAACCAAATCAGGTGGCAGTTTTTGGCCGCATAGTACAGAATCGATGTCAAATAATTTCCGTTAAATTCCACTTCGGAAAGTATCATWAATTGCAAAGGTTGGATACTATAAAAAGGAGTTAGTTCACCAGTTTTGAAGGACTTAGTTGATCTAGGAAGCGAGGTTTTCTAGGCGCGTGAAAAATACAAAGAAATGTATGGAGAATTAAAAATGAGTTTACTCGCTCCCAAGATCACCTAAGCCCTTAAAAACTGGCCAGTTAACCCCTTTTTGTAGAATCTAACGTTTCCAATTATAGATTCTTTCAGAATTGGAATTCTAAGGGAATTAAGTTATTTTGACTCAATTTTGACTGTTCATTGCTGCTTCTCTCCAARTCCCATTCGGATATTCCTCTGCTATCTTTTTCTCTCGGCATGCCTCTTCCCCTTTTTCGGCCTGCCTCTAGCCTTTCGTCCTTGGGGAGCTTTGGCTTGTTTACAGTATAGCAATATTTTTGGCAAATATTTTCATTCAKTTTCGGATACCTGGAAAATAGAGAGGTACTAGGGCGAGTGATGAAATCAGGTCAGCGGCTATCATCATAAGACAAGACAAAAGACGTTGCAAGTGAAAAATGTTATCAACAAGAAATACAGGCGTTTAACCCTTTCCACAACACACTAATATATCATGACAATTAGTGTCAGCGTGTTTGCGTTTGTCCAAAGACGTGTCAAGGTTTTTCTGTTGGTATTTCTCATCACCATTCTTGTAGGCAAGTCAACACATCTTGTAACCGTAACGGTATTTTACCGTACCAACTTATCTTACATGTAACTTAAATTGTTTTAATCGAATTTCTGTTAACGCCAATTTATTTTTTCTTATCAATATTTGAGATATAAACATAGGGAGATTGAATATTTTATTTAAACTCGAATGATCTGATATTTAATTTAGATAACTGATCCGATATTTAATTTAGATAACCGCTAGCTGTGTTTATATTAAATGACATGTTCATTGTTCTTTAAAAGATTCAGTTTATCATGATAAACATTTGGTCATATATTTAATTTTCTTTAGCTTGCTGGGCATTAACACGCAGTAATGAATCCGTTCCTGTGACTAGGTGAGAACATATTCTATTTAATTATTGCCATTGAATRGTGCAGGATGCTTATTGTATCAACAATAGGTAACTATTGACGGAAGATAGTTTTGTTATAGAGGACACGACATAAAATTGTGAAACAATTCTTAACTTTTTGGCGCTTATAGTAGTTATTTAGGATCTATTCAGAGGAAAAAACAGAATGTTATTTACGAACGCAAGACGCCTTTTATTTTCATTATATTTAAAGTCATTAAACCAGTGAAAGTCATGAAACAAAATAAGCTGACCGATTTTCTGTGCTTTCATTCATTTCAGACTTTCTAAGAAATTAATGCAAGAAATTCAACAAAAAATTGAAGTTCACAATGTAGAGGTAAACATTGCTAAGAATACTCAATCTCTTCTTTTTTTATACTTTCACGCATGAAATCCAAATACTTTTTGCATCAGTCAAAGCTTCCCAAACCATGAAAGTAACAGAATAGTTAACATTTCAACAATGTTACATCTACTAGAGGAAAACTATACATTACATTTCATCTAAATGTTATTCAAACAACATTTCATTCCTGGTTATAACATAGGGAGCCCAAGCAACGAATTTGAATCTATAATGGTTAAAAAAACATTTTACTTCTAAAAATGGTTTACTTTTATTTTATTTAGCCTTAGTATGCATTACAAATGGGTTTCGAAATCTCCTGAAAAAGAGACAAAATTCATCGACAAAAATCCTTTTTTTGCACCGGAATTAAGTCAAAACAAAATTTTATCTAAGACATCATACGTAAATCAACATTTTCTACCTTATTTTGGACCATTTTTTTAATCGTTATAGATTCAAAGTCGTTGCTTGGGCTCCCTGTGGTTATGGGCTTGGTACCAAGGCTTGAATGACAGATTATTAACCCAATCTTTCATTTCAACTGTAACAGATGTTTAAGCAGGCCCTGAAACCTATAAATTTAAAACTTTCAGAGTTGGAGAGAAAGTAAGAAACATTTATTAGTATTGTGAATGGTGATTTTCATTTATGCAATAAGAACTGTTTGTAAAATGGATTTTGTGTTTGATTATGAATTTCCAGTTTTCAAGATTATGGGAAGAAAAGATTTCTCCCTGTGAAATATTTAGCAGAAAAGGACCGCAAGAGAATATTAGTAAGTGGCTAATAACTATCATCATCATTTTTTTCACTGCAGGTATTAACAYATTATATTCCATTGTATAAATTGATACAAAGATATATATTCCACATCTCTGCTTACATTTTGCTTCATAATTGGAACAGATTACTGGAGGTGCAGGCTTTGTTGGCTCTCACTTAACTGATGCATTGATGATGGCTGGTCATGAGGTATCTTATGCATGTTGGCAATAATTGTTATAATTAGGACTGCTTAACCGAGGTGAATGTATTGGTAATACCTTATATCTCATATATTGATGATAGGTCACTGTGGCTGATAACTATTTCACTGGACGAAAGCAGAACGTAGAGCATTGGTATAATAAATACAATAATGTTTTTATTGCCTTTTGTTGACATTTGATATTGATTAATACTTTTTTTTTATTTCACTCAGGATTGGCCATGAAAACTTTGAACTTATAAACCATGATATAGTTGAACCTTTACTGATAGAGGGTGAGATATACCTGATTGAATGAAATAATAGTAAATGGTCATTGAAACTATCAGTACATTTGTAATGACTTGTAATAAATAGATTATTCAGGAACACTTTATGTATTCGTTTTTTTTAGTTGATCAGATCTACCACTTGGCTTCTCCTGCATCTCCTCCTAACTACATGTATAATCCCATCAAGGTAAAAGGGTGTCATCAACATCATTTAACACATTCATATCCATGCCAAGAAAATTACCTCATACAGTTATGAGCCAAAAGAACTTTATATTTCAAAGAGCATTTATTCTTGAAATTGAAGGCCATTTTCAAATGAGCAATATTAAAATCTAGTTCATCATCACACATAGATCTACAAATGTTTAATACATAAATGCATTAGTGTGCTTCGGCCCTAATATGAATGCTTGTTAACTTTAGACAATAAAAACCAATGCAATTGGTACTCTAAACATGCTTGGCTTGGCCAAACGAGTACATGCAAGGTTACTGTTGGCATCAACCAGTGAAGTTTATGGAGGTAAATGTCAAAACTATATTTTTTATCATAACAAAAAACTGAATTACTAATGCTCTATATTTTTACTTTGCACAGATCCAGAGGTAAGCATTCAATGCAAAATTTGTTATTGTATTATATGTAAATATATTCAGGAAGTTGGTATTCTTATGGACTTGTAGCAACATCCACAAAATGAAGATTACTGGGGTCATGTCAATCCTATAGGCCCTCGGGCTTGTTATGATGAGGGGAAAAGAGTTGCAGAGACCATGTGCTATGCATATGCCAAACAGGTACTAAATGTTAGGAGTCATTCAAACTATGCAAGTCTATTAGTTGGTTAAGAAMTTATTGTAAATACTGGCTTGAACTAAACCATACCAAACCTTTCTCGGTATTGAGTAGTAAACAGGATTTATTTTCTGTCCATTCAAGGAACATGTGGAAGTCAGAGTGGCAAGAATATTCAATACTTTTGGACCTCGAATGCACATGAGTGATGGTAATTGCAGACATTCTGCTAGAAACTCATAAAGTCATTTTCATTTGACTGTGCAATGACTAGTATTGTGTTGATATTTTGTTGGTAAACGAAAAACAAAAGAAAACAAAATATTCAATGTGTATAATCTCACTACGCTTTCATTCTCAAATGGAATAACAATAATTGTTTATTCTGTAGGTCGTGTAGTTAGTAATTTTATCATGCAGGCTTTGCAGGACAAACCACTAACTGTAAGTATATTATATTTTGTATTTCATGTCATATTAACCTGAGTGAGTCCCTGGGTAAACAGAGGAGATGGTTAATGTCCCTTCCACAATCCCAAGGTCTAGACCAAAATGTTCAGTCTACTTTCCATAAATATATCTTTACTTCTCTTCTCTTTAGTAGTAGATTTTGATTTTTATCTTTTGTTGAAAATTACAGGTATATGGATCAGGGACACAGACAAGATCCTTTCAATATGTCAGGTATTGTAGATTTTCATGTAGTGAATTTACTTACCCTTGAGAGTCCATTTTCATGTACTTAGTGAATGTGGAGACACAGAACGAGACTGATACGTTTAAGTTTTTATTTCCTCATTCAATCTGCTCACTTAACATCTTCCTTTGCTGCTACTACTACTTTATTATCAATGATTTTCACATATTGTAAGTCTAATTCTTCTCTGTGTAAAAAAGTATCTTTATTGTTTTCTATTGTTTTATTTTCACGACAATGTTTTTGTTTTCAGTGATTTAGTGAATGGTCTTATATTACTGATGAATTCTAACTACTCTAAACCAGTAAACATAGTAAGTACATTAACTTGATGGATTGATTTTATTGGTTAATTGATTATCTTTCATGTAGTGCTCATTGAATCCTTTTTGACCATTTTTCAAATCAAAGGGTAACCCTGATGAACACACAATCATGCAATTTGCTCAAATTATAAAGAAAGCTGTTGGTAAGCTTTAAAGATTTCTCAATTTCTATCTTCTCGAATTTTACACTTAATTTCCTCTATGTTTGTTGCGTTGTCAGGGGGAAAAGCACCAATTGTGAATGTCAAAAAAATGGAGGATGATCCACAAAGACGAAAACCTGACATATCAAGAGCTCTTAAATACCTAGGATGGAAACCTTCGGTAGTTATTTATTCTTTTGATTTAGTATTTTCGTCTTTACCTCATCCTCTACTTTCTCTCATTTCTTCCACGTCTTCCTCTCATTTTTTCCATTTTTAATGCATGATTCTTTTTCTTTTTCAAGGTGGCACTTGAAGTCGGAATCAACAGAACAATAGAATACTTCAAACGAGAATTACACAAATCGAAAAAATCAAAATTAGTTGATTTATAAAAATTTTAGACAGGCATATAAATGCTTACTTTTTATATCCCTGTATAATGAATTTATAAATTTCTAGAGATGAACTATATTTATTACACACACATGCTTAACAACTGTGTTAAGGAGACAGGTCTATTGTTTTAGTGAAAAATGAAGGCTCAGAAGGTTACAACATCGAAGTTAAGGGGTGCACGGAAATGACAAATCGGCTGAAACGCTTTTAAATTGTTACCCTGTTACCCGAGGCTTCTCTGTGTCTCTCTCTCCGTTGTCCAAAAATATCTCTGTTCAGACAAGGAAGAGAAAAACACACAGAAGCCTCTGGAACCGTATGATAATAGGAAAAATATTAATTTGACTTATAGTCAGTGCTTTTAGATTAGTTTTTAATAGTCATGTGCCAACAAAAAAAGCAACATATTTATGGGCTTATGATCTATTGGTGTCTCTTAGGTTTGTAACTATTTTCCAATCGAGTGAAAATCATTCACTTATTAGCTTCCATGATGTAGCCTTTTTGAAACGAAGCTATTTCAACAAGAAAATTAGAAACACTTCGTGGAACTTATCGTGCTCATACTGAAATGTCGAGTCAAAGTATGGAACCTCTTCGTAGTCCAGGGCTCGTTTTTATGCACTTAATGGTACATCATACACAAAACTCTTTGAAACATTTAATTTGATAAAAATACTTTGAATAGGTGAACGTCTTCAAATTTTTTTGTCAGTATCACATGATAAAGTGGCTACTGCTGATTTCTATTTTTTATTATCTATGCCTTGTGCTTGATCTAACATTTATAAGTCTGGATGCCTGATAGTTTGAATACTGATTTCTTTGACTCTCGAAACCACCGAAACGTGGTGTTGGTTTTTATACAGCCAACATGGAGCCCAAGCAATGACTTTGAGGTAAGATTTTACTTCTTAAAATGGTTTTATTTTATTTTTTGTCCTTATTAAGCATTATAAATGACACTTTATCTGTATATTTAACAAATCTGTAATTTATTATAACGAAATCAATATATCATCGCCACCAAAATAATTTTAACAGTATATTCATAAAAGTATCATGGTATAATGTAAAATTCTCTTGTAAACAGCAATTGCGTTCTTTACCAAGAAATGAATAATATTTTCTGAAGATTATAGAATAAATGATTTGTACAAATTCATTTGTAAAATCTAAATAAACTTTTTATGCCAATTTTAGTGATTACTGGGAAACTGGGTTTAAAACAACTGTAACTGTATTTTATTTGTACGATATATTTTTTTCAGAGATGAAATTAATAATCGCTAATTAAATCACGTGACAGTGATTACGGGTTAGCGACAGTGCTGCTAAGTTGTGTTGGTAAAATATTTTAACGGGGTTTATGACTCTGGATTGATTCTGAAACACTATACTTTTCCTGTCTTTGCAATGTCCTGATAAGTCTTTCCTCTCTCTTCTCAGCGGCATGACTTTGAAGTATATGCTTCGGCACTTTTTCTTCCCTTTGTTGTACATTTTCCTTGACTTGTAAGACTGGCAAGACTCTCCTTTACCTACCCTTCAATCCACTTACTGCCCTCTCTTCTCGTTTCTAGATATCCATTCTCTTTCGAGCTTCTCCTCTTTTTCATCTGTTTACCTAACCAGTGGCTTTTTGAGCTTGACTGTCACACTGTCCTATCTGCCTGTTCTTAAACATGATCTGTATCGTACTGTAGACAGAATTGCGCAACTTCTTCATCCGCCACAAGTAAAGCAGAGGGTTCACTGTTGAGTTGATGCTAGCGACCAATTCCGATATTGTCATAAAGCGATACAACAAGCGAAGATAGTCTTCAATGTTGGGTTGGTGTCCGTGGACTATATATGTCACTACTGTAGCGATTGATGAACAAATGTAAGGTGAATAAAACAGAAACATTGTGCACAAAATGAGTACCATTGTATTCAGTAATCTTCGATATCTCAATGGACGAAAAGCTTTGGATTTTGCGTCATTTGTCGCTAGAGTTTCTGGGGTAACTTTTACTCTTTTTAGATGGTAATATGACAGTCCATAGCACACGGTCATCGTAGCAAGCATTACAAACACACTTGCTGCTAACACACCTATATAAATATCCATACGAATCTCTGTTGCTGTAGCAACAGATATCATGATCACTCCCGAGAAGATCCAAAAGCAAAACGCTGTGTAGAGTACTCGTCTCAACGTAACTACGGTACGATATTTGCTCTTTAATAGGATGGCGAGCAATCTATCTACACTGATTACTGTAAGTGTGTAAAGAGAATTTGAACCCACCCAATATATGACGAGCCGTCCGCTTATCCAGCAGTAGCAAAATACCCGTACCCAATTACACAGTGCTGCGAAGTTAGTGACCACAATGAGAGGGTTTCCCAGTATTCCCACAATAAAATCTGTAATGGCAAGGTTTCCAAGAAGTAGATTTGAAGGCTTTTGCAACGACGGGGTTCTCCATATAGTCAAAATAATCACCAAATTGAACACAGAGGCTGTAAATGAAGATAGGATGAAAAAGACCGATAAAGTAATACGATGTGCAGGGAACTTAACGTGAAAAAGGTTAGAAAAGCAGCTATCATTCATTGCTCTGTGAACAAGTAATGTGAAGTAGGTCGAGCAGATGTACTCATAAAATAACTGGATTAGTAGAACCACAGAATACTGTTCGATACCGAGTACGGAACCAACAAAGATAAACTGAATGAACAAAAAAATGATATTGTTATAAAAAGTAGGAGGTTCGYTTTCATCTGGAATAATCTTCAGTGACAAGCTGTTAATTTGCATTGTYTCGTTGCCGGACATGACGACTTCAGTCCCCCTTTATATTCAAGAGAACATGAAGGAGTTGGCTGAAAATTAGCCATGAAAAAAAACCGCCCTTATGAGCTGCGTCTTCACTTGCACATTTAGCGAATCAGAGACATCCGCAAAGATTCTAGAAAATGGATCTYGTCTTTTCATCTTTTAATTCAAATTCGCAGTAGTTTGGAGTATTGGTTTGTAGTGTTTACCAAGCTAAATTGAATTGCAGAGGCTTTATAAACAATACGAAAGAGAAGACAGCTGTATTACTACTCTGTATAGCAGGAAGGCGTTGTAGTTTGTAAATTTCGCGGATTTTATTTTTGCCGCGGCATCAAATCATTTCGGCCATCTCTATTTGCAAAGGCCGATACACTTTTACACCAACTTTTACACCACTTTTACACCAACAAAAATCCAAGTTACATTTTCGCCTGTAAAAATYGAGCTTCAAAAAAGGCCGTATTGTTAAGTTTCCAGAAGCAATAAGCAAATATACAGATGTCAATATTTGAACGGAAGAGCACAGGAAAYGACAGAATAGAGTTGTTAGATATGATAATACTTACTAAGTGTGTYCTTAGCTTTGTGCTAAACGATGTCAAGATCTGCTGTCACTCGCCCTTTCAAAGTAATCACGGGCAATACATCATGCTGACATAAATTTTCATCCTTTTTTTGTTTCTTTTAGTAAAACTTTTTATATTCCCGAAGTCGTCTATTATATAAAGTAAGGCAGGTTTTAGTTCACGCATATATGCAACATATTATGATTAGCTGTTTATTTAATAACAGACAGATCAAAAAAAAGTTAGTGAAATACGAATTCGTACACACCCGACTACCATGATCGCGCTTTTTTCGACTTCGTACTACAGGTGCAAATTTGCACAAAGAGAGAATACCATCAGCGCTAGTCTCCCCCGCAGCCGTTATCAGTGTCACCCTGTGTTTCTGATGACGCCTGTTGAAGAGTCTACAATAAGTGCTTTTAGGAAATCAAAACTTCCACACAAATTTATCGYCAAGAGAAGAATAATCTCTTTATGTAATGCTTATAAATCAAAGGTAACAAGAACTTACAATAGTTTGTCTTTTGGAAAAAGCCGTATCAAAGACAAGAATTTTACTTGTTTGCTCATTCTTGCATAGTGAGCAAAAAATAGAAAATACGCCCTCCAAGAGGGAGGGGCTCTCTCCTACTAACTGTCCTATTTACATAGAWATGCCAGATGTTACTCAGTGGATCATAGCGTTGATAAGGTTCAAATACTAGCTACTTTCAATTATAAGGGGACTTGATTCATAAATAGACTAGAGTCTATAATACAGTCCAAATCATAGAAATTGTCTTGATGCAAAACAGGATGAAGTCAAACAGTTTAGTTCAAGTTCTAGTCTCCCACGCCGACAACACTTCATTTTTCCCAATGGAGACCCTTCTAGAATCCTCTTGGCCAAGAGGAAGAACCTACGTACATTATAGTTTTCAGCTCACAAAACCCTCTTAGGATTTCATAGGCCCGTGAAACAAATTGTATTTCAATTGTATTTTGTATTTTTTTCCCAATGGAGACCCTTCTAGCATCCTCTTGGCCAAGAGGAAGACCCTACGTACATTAGTTTTTAGCTCACAAAACCCTCTTAGGATTTCATAGGCCCGTGAAACAAATTGTGTTTCACGCACTTATGAAAAAAGTATAAATAACCACACATTTTCATCGTCCGTGCAAGGAATTCCTTTATAATGCAAGATATTTCATAGTCTTATWTCTRTTTMACGGGTTTAAGATCATTCTATCGGTTACAAAGTTTGAAGCGTAATGAATTTCACACGTCTCGCCTCGTGTCCTTTGGAACTAAGGGAGAAGTTGAAGAGATTCTTTCACAGACGATGTCATATTGTGTTTTTTTCTATACCCCGATTTACCAAATAACGACACCAATCACGAGCAAGGTTACAATATCAATTTTTTCCGTTTCGTTGCCATTATTTCAACTGCCTGCGCACCCTCGCTGGTGATTGGGGAAATTATAATGGAAATCAAACCTAACAGTCTGTTCTTTTCCTCATTCAATTCCCAATCCATTAATACAGTACGTGTAGACTTCCAAATATATATCCCTTTTTAAGTGGATGGGCCCTTACTAGTTACACCATAGTAAAGAAAAAATAGTGTCAAATATATAACTAGATGAAAAAGCAATGAAAGCCGTTTTAGTGCAGAGAAATACTCCTTCAAGGACGTAATAGACCAGCTACCAGTTTGTTTTCAATTACTCTTGATATGTTGCATTAGGAGAATGCTTTCTAAAAGTTTAGAGTGTCTTGGGATAGCAAGGGAAAATGATGACAAAAAKTTGAAAACAAAATGCTGTCTGATCTAACTACACTTAAAACATCATCCTTTGCTTTTCATCAAGTTAAAATGTCAGTGAAGATTTTGCACTARGTTTTATTTTATAAAATATTGAAAATGAACAATAATTCACTTAAAAAAACATTATTTTACAGAATTTTGGAGAAATAAAGAAAACAATTATTACTTGTCATCAGGAGGTTTTACAAAATTTTACTTATGCCAATCATTCTCATTTAAAACTCAAAAACCCTTTAGGAGAACTGAGTTTCTGGTCACTAATCTTATGCTCCATTGTTTATTTAGTGCTAGGTGCGAGAGTCTAGCATTAGTGTCATTATAGACAATAGTTGTGTGTAATCCACTGAGTGTAGTAAGAAAATATACAAATTGGCAAACCTTACGACCATTATAGAAAATCACTCATCGTTCTATTCTAGCCATTTTGTGGGTTTTTTGATTTGTAGGGTATTTAATTGGCTCTGCATTGTAGTGATAATTTTGTGATGAGTTGGATGTGAAATAGTGTTCAGCAACATTGCTATGAGCTGTAAACAAAGAGAAATGTAATGAGTACAAAACTCGGTGTTATAGTCCTTCCTTATTCATTGATCAATCTATTTTGTTTGTTTGTTTGTTTGTTTTTTTTTTTGTTTTTTTGTTTTTCATTGATCAATCTAAGCATCATCAACATATCATCCAATTTTTTTATAATATTTTTATTTTTTTAACTTCTATCATGCATTCATTTGTTTGTTTATCTTTTCTCTCATTCAGTAATCTTTTTTATTCATCTTCTCATTATTCTGCAATTTTCTTTATTAACAAATATTTACCATTTATAAGAAGATGTTTAGAAAAACATAATATAAGAAAAGATAAGGAAAGAAACACATGTTATGTTGTTGATGCAAAGTTTCGGTAGTAACAACGTAAAAACTGTCTGTTTTCTTTCWTTAACTTTTCTTACCATTTATATATCTAGAAACAAATAGAACGGAAATCACTTACCTATTGATTCTTTTAACAATTTTCTCTACTATTCTATCACTTATACCAGGCATACGATCCTCTGCTGCAGTGAATGCGTCTTGTAAATCCTGAATGACCTTGGTTTGATTACCATTTTTAGCTGTGAGCTAAAAACAAAGACCACCWTATTTTAGCAACGATTGACTGATTAATGTCATGTACACCATAATTATAATGGACAAGACTTACCTCTAAGAAAACAGGGCCAAGAACATTGTTTAAACTTCTAGAAACTGGACGTTTGGGCTTTGTTTCCTGATATGAACAAAGTACTTCTGTGAGTGGATGAAAAGATTTGTTTCTCTACAAATAGGTTGAATGATCGATTTACACCAAAAGTTGGCATTTTAATATGTATATCCGTTGATTTACACTGGTAAACTTCACATATATGATTCATCATATTTTCTATTGACTGTACAAACTTTGACTAAAATAACACTCTCTCTTTGGCATACTTACAGCCTTTTTTATATCTGTAACTATCTCTCCATTTCCAGTAGAATCATTTAGCCCTGATGGGGCTTTTCCTCTTATTGTTGGGAAGTCCCATGAAGTAGAGTCTCTTTCATTTTCTCTGTTGACAAAGAAGGATAGTTATCTTTATTAGAAAATGCTAACAATATCACATTACTAAAATGTACAACCAAATCACTATTACAATTGTTTAAAACGCAACCAATAACCTACCCGTCACTGTCTTCCCCTGAACTGCTATCATCATCATCAACATGGTTAAGTTTCCACCTTTTATACCGTTCTATTAATTCAACCAGGAAAGAATTTTTCTTGGCAGTTTTTATGAATCTGTGTCTGAGGAGTTCTCTAGCTGTAGGTCTCTGTAAGAACAAGGAAACCCAACACATTTTCTTAATATTATATCAATGATAGCTGACACAGAGAGAAAGACAAATGACAAAAAGAATATTTCAATATATCAAGGTTATCATCTCATAGGGTTATTAATTCACCAGTTAAGGTTGCATGCCTAGTGCCCCCCTGTTTTGTCCCTACAATAACATAACTATTGTAATAGTTAACTTAAGATGTCACCACCCTTCAGGGACAATTCTTGTGAATAAGCATGCCACAAATCACGACACAGAAAGCACATGAACACAGAATGTCACCTCGCATATATGCCATAGAAAAYGTTATAAGTTTGTCAGCACAAAAACAACAGAAAATTGCTGTAGTTTTTAAATACACATAGTATTATACTCTATAATTGTAAAAATCTTCACTGTATATAGTTTTAAACTATTTTAAATCAGAATTTGTTATCATACTTACATCGTTAGGATCTTTATTTAAACACAAGGATACAAATTCTTTAAATGCTTTACTGAAGTTGCCTGTCAGTTCAGGGGGGTTGTTTTTAGGAATAAGGAATARCACTCTCATTGGATGAAGATCAGAGTTGGGCGGTTCACCTTTTGCTAACTCAATTGCTGTTATCCCTAGTGACCAGATATCAGCCTGAAATAGATCATGTGGTAATTTATATTTTTTGGTTTAAATATAAGATATGCAAACTATAATYTTAATCAAACCTTAGAGTCGTAGGCTGATTGCTTGATGACTTCCGGTGCCATCCAGAATGGTGTACCGACAAACGTGTTCCTTTTATTTAATGTGTCTGTCAACTGACCAGCCACACCAAAGTCAGCTAGTTTAACATCTCCACTCTCTGATAGTAAGACATTGGCAGCTGACAAAGTARCAAAATGGTAACAATAAATTACTGCAGATAACAATGATTATAATAAAAACAACAATACCATGGGATATTGGACCATGCGATGTAATATTTGATATGTTTTTATATGAATTACATTAATATTCCCCTAAACTAATGTTAACCATACTGAKACTGTTTTACCTTTTATATCCCTGTGTAGTTTCTTCTCAGAGTGTAAATAATCTAAACCTTTAAGAACCTCTCGTAAAATGGTAGCGATGTACCACTCTTCGATGTTGCCAGCTTTCATCTAATATAAATAAAAAATGCATTAAAACTCTCTAGCTATCAWCTTGTCTTCAATCTCTTTTCTATCCTTTAAGAAAAAATAGTCAGCCATAGTAAAATTTTATTACTTCATTCATATATGATTGTTRCTAATACAGAGATGATTATCGCTATAATCCATGGCAAGATGCTTAGTGACTTTTATTCAGCTTGATATGAATCTAACTATAATTCACAAAACACAAGACATAATAAAAAATATTTATAGTTAAGATATAATTACACACTAAAAAATAATTATAATTATAATAATTATTTTTAGAGAATATGTCGCTGATTCCATATGACTATTGTATGAGATGTACTTACAAGATCCAGTGCTGATCCACCTCCTAAATACTCCATCATAATCCATAATTTGGTTCTCTGTTAAAAACAAATGCAATAGACATTACACATTACTGTTGAAAGGAAAAAAACAATTTTGGTGTACAAGATGGTATTTMATATGTGGACTAGACAGGATAGGATCCGTGGTTTTGTTATCATAACTTTGCTTGTGATTTTATTAAAAATCTATCAGCATTGTAAACATGCCCATGAATATTTGACAGAAAATTTCAATGAATTAATTTGCCATAAAAACAGCTTACAYAAAATAAAATTCATGAATAACGATTGATGATGAACAGGTTTCCTTTGTGAAGATAACAATACCACACATCAATGCTTTGTTATTTAATCAACACTTGGACATTTTGGTAATTAAATTATAAGAAAAAAAAACGAAACCTTGCTCCTTTGATATTAACCAAATTTGGAGAGCATGAAAGTAAAACAGATGATCAAAACATGCTGAAAGTTCTTTGAGTTACTATTGAAATCACTGACCATTAGTAACAAGAGTTCTATAAAACAAAAAATACAATTCAAAACAACTTTTCTAAACAATTGACTCAGGAATGACTTGAGAGAAACAATTTTAAGATCAAACAAATAAAGTTTGCAAAACTATTTGTGTAGGAGTTTTATGACGTCTTCTTTACTGTTTCAGTATCAATAATAAATTAACATCCATCAAAGACTTCGGTTCTATTCTTAAGACACCGGACCTTATGACCTAAATTATCACAAATTATACATACTGAACAATACCAAAATCTATAGACATGGATATAAAGGATTTCAAAGGTGATAAGGAAATCACACAACAAAATATCCTCAAAATACGTGCATTGACACGATGGTATGGAATTTTTGTGTTATTTGGAGCATATTGTAGTGTCACCACTAAATATAGCCTTTTTGTGTGGGATGGTGACTTTTTTTAGAGTGCAAATCTTTTTCTCAAAATAATTTGCTTGAATCGATTAATTTGAAGAAATAAACACGATATTGCGATAAAGTTCAGTCAGTAGTGTACAATGCCCATCCCTTATACGTAATTTGAACAAACACGAGCAAGGTTCGATGTGCTAACTTGTGGAGTATCAAATGTCACCTCCAATGCTCCTGGATCTCCTAATGACGTTCACGGAAAAGTTTCCCGAAAAATACAAATCCAGGGATATAATTTACCAGTATTGAATAAACAATCAAGGCTATAATCCGGTAAATAGCTCTAACCATCTCATATCACGCTCAAAGTTTGATCTGTTGATGCGAAATCTCAGCCTGCATGGAAGGTCTTTGTTGTGTGTGTATTTACATAGGTAAAATGCTGTTAAAACCAGGGTTTAACTCGAAGGCACAACAATGTGCAATCATTAAGAGAAGATATAGCTAACCTTCAAGTATGATCCATGATATTTAGTGACATAGGGGCTATCGCATTGAGATAGCACTGTAATTTCTTGCTGGATGTCTTCTATTTCATCCTCTGCTTCTTCTAAGTCGATAATTTTTATCGCCACCACTTCATTGGTTTTGTTATCAATACTAAATCAAATATTCAGGTATAAATTCACAGCATTTTCTATATCATAAACCATGGTRGATGGGTAGTAAAATCACAAGAAAGTGAAATCGTACCCTTTATAAACTTCGCCAAAGGACCCCTTTCCGATTCGCTCAAGCTTTGAAAAGAGCTTCTCAGGGTCGGCTTTCATACCCTAAAAATCAACCACAAAAGTAAAGTTAATTCAATATTGTTGAAGAGCTACTTTACGTTGAAAATAAACAGGGGAAATTAGCAAAGAAAGTGGATAATAATTAAGCTTAAGTTTACATGTACGCTTATCAAGTCCAGAAGATATGAAAGAATATACGAACACAAATTGCCATGACACTTTACTTCCACCTTCACGGTTAGCGAGTAGTGCTTGGCATATATATTAATAAAGAGGTTGTGTTGGTTAAAAAGCGTCTCTAGGAACAACATACCAAGTTGTTAGCTGCCATTCAGTAACAAAAACATTCGCTACCGGAACAAGCCAACATAGACTCCAGTAGAAGAGTTGTTTCTTGACGAATATGAAGCTTTTAACGCCGTCTAGACGAGCCAAAATAGGCCAAAACACTCACCATAATTTCATCTTTATATAAGCATTTATAAAATTCGAATAACAAATTGCAAAACACGTAATTTTTCAAGGTTTTCACAGTCTAAAACTCAAGGAAGCAGAATGTTGTACCGCCATAGCTGACATTGAAACGCGCTGCAGTTATGTACCCCATATTTGGACATAACACATGATCAAAATCGTCTCACCTGGGTGCGGCTACTGATTGGCTCGCTCACGGGTTTCCTGTGGTCACGCAGTGGGAATTTTCAWGARGATCGATGGGAASTTCTGGGGAGTTRGATTTATTTTTCCTTAYTGGGGAAACATTCTCAAAAGMAGAAGGGGAATTATGATTAAATTTGTATTTCTCCGACTAATTTCCGCATTGCTAAACTAGAGTCAGACCTCACTATAGCATCCGAAGTCCTGTGTACAAATTAGGTTAATATTTGAAATGGTAAAATTATATATCGAACGTCACTAGACGATAACAGCACGAGTCGGTTGCCTCCCAAAATGTAGCCCTTTCTTTGAAAAATGAGTAATGTCCCATTTTAGAGTGAACGCACATAGTCCGTGAAACGAAAAACGACAAACAAGTTTAAATCCTCGAAAAAGCACAAATTTCCCCCCCCCCCCCCAAATTTGAAAGCATTGTCGTCATTATCATTTATTTGCTAAGCATATTTTATTCATCCAYATTAGATTTATCAGGAGAGAGACATCACCTTTCTTGGATATCTGAGTTCTATTACTTACAGACCTTGCAAATATGCGAAATTATGAATACTTGTCACTTGAGACTCGGAGTCGATTCGGAGTTTGACTGAAACGAGATTGTAACAAAGGAAACCTCTCTTCGTGACTAGCGACATCTCTTTTCCGGTTGTCCTCCCGTCAGTATTCAATGCCCTCACTCTGCTATGAGGGTCTCAATGGGGTGGTACGCATCACGACTCACGGCGGCTAAAAATTTGGCGATTTCACGACTCACGACTAATTTTTTCGAATCACGGTTAAGTAGATTACTTAAAGAMATTTTTGAAAAACATTTTTCATTACTTTTTCATAATTTGTTTTGTTCAGAGATAGTGAGTGTGGCCAGCACAGTGTCCCCGGGCTTGTATGTTGTACGGTCTTGTACGTTATAGACACTCAGTTATTTATAATTTTTTATTATCACTATCAAATGTCAAATTTTGTCCATGCCCTGACTTGTCTGCAGGTCCATTAGAATTTTGAGGGGGTTTGGGTGGAATAGTGAAAGATTTAGGGGAAACAATTCCTGAACGGCCCGAAGGGCGGAAAAAA